TATTTTCAAAAATCCTGTTAATTCTTTCTTACTGTCACTTTTGATTCACTCTTCCATTTCATAATGTATTTAAAGTACAGTTCCGGTCAACATGTAGGATACTTTTACTGCGGGAAATATATCTCATCTCTGAGAAATCTATTTTAACCGTTAAAACGTAACTAGGGACCAACCCGAGCGGAGCAAGTGTGAGTTGCTAGTATACATATAAAAACCTCTAAAAAGTTAGAAAAGAGCTGATGATTTTGAAACGGCTGAACTGGTCTTGATAAAACATGACAAAGAACCACCGCTAGAAAACCTGCTTTCAAATAAAAAAATACGCATCCAAATCGGTTCACCCGTTTAAAAGTTACGGTGCCTCAGACAGACAGACACACACACACACACATAGCGGTCAAACTTATAACATCCCTCTTTTCGCGTCGGGGTTTAAAAATCAATAATAGTTTTAGGTATATTCCTGTCTGTATTATATGTACTTTTACGCTTCAAAATTGAAAGCTTTCAGAATTGAATTAACTTCTGAATATAAGGAAAGGGGAAACGGAAATTGTCTGTTATCGTTAAAAGAAATTTGCAAAGGTTTCTTTCAAACGACGCCGACTTTAGAATTCTCTTTTACACTTTATATATATATTATCACTTAACTTAAACAATTAAGTTTTTAGCTTTGATGATAAGAATAAGTACTTTTTTTTCTTATCGCTCTTTTATAAGGCCAAATTAAATAGCAGGATAATTGACATGGCGGTTCGAAAAAAATATGAATTTTGACGTTAAAGCAATGTTTGTCTGTTTATGTTTTTACAGTTGTTTGCTGTTTCTCATTTATCCTATACTTACTAGAGACAGATATTTGACATAAGCTTTATACAAAATAAGTCAAATTCCTATCGGTAGGAAGGAAAACAACAGATGCAAATAGGTTATTGGGATTCGCCGTTAGATACTTGGTTTCGTATTAATGTTTAATATAACTTCTTGTGAACAAAAATAGAATAATTTATTTTCAATGTATCTATACTAATATTATAAAGAGGCAGAGTCTATTTGTTTGTTTGTGTGTTTGTTTGAACGCGCTAATTTCAAGAACTACTAATCCGATTTGTAAAACTCTTTTTGCATTAGATAGCAAGTTTATTGAGGATGGCTATATATAGGCTATATATCATCATGCTCCTACTCAAGGGAACGGAGCAGTAATCATAAATGTCAAGAAATCGGACAGACTCCCATATATTATTTTAAAACTGATGTTTATAACCAAACAAATTTAACGCGGGTGAAACCGCAGGGCACAGCTAGTCCATTATATAGGTAATATAGGTAATATTATAGAACCTACTTGTTATGTTCAGATACGTTCAGAGTGTGATATAGTGTAAATGTATCATCACATGCTGAAATATTACGATGGCCCCAACACTCAAAATAATCCATTTTGATCTCTATTTACATGGGGTTACAGATTCAAATCCCATTAACTTAGATAAATGCCTAGTGTGCATGGCAGGTCACGAAGTAAAGGAACGCTGCAATCGGCAGTTAGTTGGGAATTTCCTACAATTACCATCGTTCTTATGCACTCAAGTGTTGGCTTCGTTTTGCATTATTAGGCATAATTCGTGCTTCGGCACAGAATGTCTGAGAAACAACTTGTTATTACGAAATATTTTTAGTTGTAAATGTTAATTTTAGGAACAGCTATAGAGATATAGAGGTTTTGTACTCTAATTACTGAACCACTATAATACTAGTTCTTCGTGTTTTTTTACTAATTTCAAAGATTGAGGAGGTACAAAGTTCGGCTGTATTTTTGTGTTATTTGTCGTCGTTACCACTTATGAATTGTATTTTTTTTAATGAACATGTAAAATGCCAATGGATCACAATTCAAAATACGTATAAATATATTTTCTAACTTTTAGGCTCTATACGTTGTAAAGTTTTTCATCCTTTTTATTTTTTTAACGTTGGGATATGCATTTACGCATACCACCTGCATACATACAGGTGGTAATGTATGACTCACCTTCTAGAAAAAAATGTGACCTGCACGGAGATTGTATTTGTCTCATCGTGTCTTTTTATTTACTAGCGACTCACCCTCGCTTCGCTCGTGTTTGTCCCTAGGTTGATTCCCTATGCAAACTGTTAACTCCATTTTCACCCCCTTAAGGGATGATTTCCGGGATAAAAACTATCCTATGTCCTTCCTAGGGTCTCAATTTAGATGAAATTTGATAAAAAGATATTTTATCAAATTTCATCTAAATCGGTTCAGTAGATCCAGAAATTACCCCTAGAACGTCACACACTCACAAACTTTACCTCTTTATAATATTAATAGATTACTTATACATTACAAGAAAAATAATAAGATTAATTATAAAATTATAATTATTACAAAATCAGATGACGTGTTACGTTATAAATATCATATCTATATATTATACTAGCATTGCCCGTGGCTCCGCCCCCGTTCAGGTGACCAATTTTTTTCTCAGAAATGAGATATTTTCCAGCGGCAAAAAGTATCCTATATGACCCGGATAACCAGCTATCACCATACCAAATGTCATCAAAATTCCTTCAGTGGTTTTTCTGTGATACGGTAACAGACAGACAGACAAAAATTCTAAAAGCTATGGATTCGGCTTCTGTATCGATAATAATATTTATTTCAATAAGATTTTTCAAAAAATATTTTATGTACAGATTCGGCTTAGTTACAATTTTATCATATGTATAGATTATAATAAAATGATGTAATAGCACTTACATTTGGAAGTAATCATTAGATAAGTTTCGTAGAAATTTTGCTTTAGGTCAAAGATCATGACGATGTTCCATGAAAAAGATTACTTCCATTACGTGAAATTGACTTTTTTTTTTAGTAAAGGTCAAGAAGTTAATAAAATTGAGACTGTAGCTCCCCCGAGTTTTCTTTTAAAGAACACTTTAGTAACGGTCGTATATATTACAAATACTTTTAAGAAAGAAAGTACCGATTAAAAAGTTGTAAGTGCTGGCTGGAACGCGTTATTTAATAATATTCGAAGCAATTGTGTTATCCGTAAATCTATTTTTCTTTTACAATTACATAGATCTGAAAAAAATCATTTTGGAAACTAGATTTACAGATATATTACTACATACTAGTAGAGACCCCGAGCTATTTTTCGGGGGGCTATATTTTTTAAATACATAGACGATATATGGTTGTTTTGTAAGCTGCCGAAGCACTTTATTTATATTTCTATTTCATCAATCAATCAATACTCAAAGTAGACCAAAATTTTAATAAATAAAAAAAGTCATTTTAGTAATAACCGTTCGTGGCCGTGCTAAAGTACTCCTAAAGCAAACAACGCCATCGAGCTATACGAGTATACTGTAGAAACTTATTATCTAACTAGCGACTCACTACTTACGTCTTATTTAATATAATTTATATAAATTTCTCAGAAATCAGATAAATTCCCGCAGTAAAAAGTCCGGATAACCAGCTATCATCATACCAAATTTCATCAAAATTCCTCCAGTGGTTTTTCCGTGATACGGTAACAGACAGACAAAAATTCTAAAAACTATAGATTTGGCCTCAGTATCGATAATAATGTCTATTTCAATAAGATTTTCCAAAAAAAAAAATTTTATGTGCAAATTCGGCTTAGTTACAATTTTATTATATGTATAGATGGCAGATTTTTTAATATGTGTAACAATAAAATAACAGAAATTGATTGATGAACGTATTATTTTACTTAATGGTCAAATTATAAGTTAACACATATAACGCCATCTATTGAAATTTATTTGTATTATTTTATTGTTTTCTTGATGAGAATTTATAGTTTTATGTTTCGATTCATATAAATATCTTTAATATATAAGATACTAGCGACTTATCCTCGTTCCGCTCGGGTGCGTCCTTGGGTACGTTTTGATTTTTTAGAGTTTAGAGCGAGACTTTAATTTTTTTTAAATAAAAGTAGGCAAGTTACTCCTTGTAACATCAGTTATCTGCCAGTTAAAGTCAGGTCTTAATCAGTCCAGCCGTTTCGGAGGTTGACCGGAACAAACAGACAAACAAAAAATTAAAAAAAGTGTTTTTCTCATAAGTAGGTACTTATAAGAAAAACACGTATATAATTTCATATGCATTTAGTAAAAAGCTGTTATTTTAACATTACAAACAGACTCTTCAATTTTATTTATATGTGTAGATATGCTTAATATAATCGTAATAATATGCTCTTAGGAAAATAAGTTTGTTAATAAAACCGATAGAAATAAACTTATTATATTAGAATTAAAACAACCTTGTATGAAATGCGTCAGTCAAAACTATTATTACGTCGGCAAGGCCTTAAATTAACACATGAAAATCATTGTACAATTAGTTGGTTCGCAAATCGTTAATTATATCAACGTACGTTAATAGACTTTAAATGTATTCGCTAATCACGTAAACGATTACGTAGCAATGGCAAAACCAGTTCAAGCGTTGATATTAGCAAAATATTTACCTACTAGCGACTCACCCTTGCTTCGCTCGAGTTCGTCGCTAGGTTGATTCTCCATACGAACTTTCATTATTAATTTTACGATATACATATATGTACATTTTACATATACATATGTATTAATGTATATGTATAATTATTTGTTTTCGATATGTAGGTTTTATTGATTATATGAAAACTTGTATATTAGGTATACGAAAAAACCAGAAAAGCTGGATTGGTATTTTTTAGTTTTTTTTATGTAATATAAGTGTATTAAATTATTTCTAGCATGGTAAAAAATATTATATATTAGATTTTAATTATCTTAATGACGTAATGATGAAAATTTTCTTCTGATCTGAATCTCTGATTAATTCTCAAAATGAATCCGCGAAAGAATATTTATGGATAGTTTAATTGAAAATATTCAAATATTCGCGTAAATCTAAGAAGTTATGAGTGACATAGTTGTTATATTGTTTTCAGACCATCAAACTTACCAGCGAAGTGCACGGAGGAAGCTCTCCGTCACAAAGCTGAGCATGCGAGGATGGTGGAGGCAGCCAGGCGGAGAGTCGAGCGTGAGGCTGCAGCAAGGCATGCGAGATTGCAAGAGTCCATACGGATGGAAGAAAGATTAGCAAGGCACGCGAGGGAGTGGACACAGACTATATTACCGGATTGGCAAAATATGTGAGTACGCTTATATGCTTTTAAATAATGTTTGAGACATCTTAAACCTCAGTCTCTCCCATGACCATGATGGCTGTAAAACATTCGAAACTTCGGGAACCAAAAATCTGAATAAATTCGCGAAAAAATCCAATAAAATAGTTTTATTTAAAATGTCAAATATTCGCGTAAATCTAAGGAAGTATTATTTGTTTGAGAATTCGAGAATATTCTTTGGGATTCAGTAAGTTGTTAGGAATACGTATGCGTGAAACTATTTATTTAGAATTTAAAGTGATTTATTTTATGTATGTACTTCATGGTCGTTTGACTTCAAGGCATTAAATTTTAAAAAGTTAGAAAGGTTAAATTGCCCAGATTGGTGAAGCTGTCTCTCATCAAAATTAAACCACGACAAGATCCGAAAGTTTTATTTGCTTATATTAATTTAAAATAATAAAAGTTGTATGTAAATGCAAGGCAATTGGGTTGTTGATAGACGACATTTTTATTATACGTATGTTATATAATATACATATCTAACTTGACCTGGGTATAATACTTAGCAATTTTTGACATTTTAAATGAAGCATTTTCTTCGGATATTTTCGCGTTTTTATTTTGATTTTTCCCGTTAAAGTGTAAAGCACTGGAAACCACGAAAGAATCCAAATAAATAATTTCGACCTTGTTATATTTTGACTGCTGTGTATTGCGGCATTAGTAAATCATATATTAGATTTTTTATGGCTTCATCTGTTATCTGCGACAGACGCCAAATCCATCACCCGCTAAATAGCAATGAGGGCGAGTTACGTATTGTATGTGGAACAATGCTCGCGATTTACATGAAAAAGTCATTGTTTTTGATGTTTTCTTCCATACATCTATTGTTGTTTTCAATAAAACTGACGGTGTGTACTCATTGTGTACTTATTGCCATATTCTCTTCATGATATTGGTACGAGTTTTTGTTAAGTTAGTTCAGTGACCTACTTATAGTTGATTTTTTGCCCAGAATTTTAGTAATTTAGGTATTTGCTTAGGGGCTTTTTTAATTTTTCTGTTAGGGTTTTCTCAGAACATTTGATTGTTGTCAATAATGAAAGCTGCAAGAAATAAAAACGAAACGGTATGAATTGTAGTAGATTCAGTATGGACGATGGATTCAGTATTTAATATAGAGTATTCTAAATATTTATATCTATTTATTCATTTGCAGGAAAAATGCAAAACGTACTCTTGAACTTTGGTGGAGCGGGCTTCCACCGGCTATAAGAGGTCGGGTCTGGCAACTGGCAATCGAAAATAAACTTAAGATAACACACGAAATGTACCAGGATTACGTCACAAAAGCGAAGCAGAAACTACTCGAGGCACAATTGAGACGGAAAAGGTTAAAAGTCAACATCAAAAACACATGTGACTGCAAAAACGATCAGCCCAAATCTGATGAAACTAAAGAAGATAGGTTATCCAGTGGAGACTTTGCAAAGACAGAAGAAAGATCGTCCAAAAGGTCGGAAAAGATGTCCAAAATGGACGACAGGTTAGAAGATAAATCGGAAAAACCACGATTGGGTATGCCAAGAAACTTTAGCGAGCAGAATCTGAAGACGTTGAACGTAGATCCAGGGCCGAAAAAGTGTTGTTCAAAATCTAACCCTAATTTGTTAGATTATAGTGACGAATGTTCTATGGAATTAATTCAGTTGGACATAGCTCGGACATTTCCACATCTGTGCATATTTCAACCGGGCGGGCCCTATTTTGATGTACTTCACGAGCTACTCGCGGCGTACGTGTGTTATAGGCCTGATATCGGTTACATACAGGTAAAATTTCTTATTTACTAGTGTATTAACCCCGCTTTGCTTGGGCATGACTCTGCGACTTTATACAAAAACATCGGCTTTTCCCTTTATACATAAGATATAATATGTATTCATCTTTGGCAAACGACCAGCGCCATCTTGTCGCAAATTTTATTAGTAACTGTTCATTTTTATACAAACATGTAACTTTGCATTTATAAATTTAGTGCAATATCTATTTTCTAAAGATATATTTATGAATAGCGACTCGCCCTCGCTCCGCTTGGGTTCGTCTCTATGTTAGGTTACGTTTTAACGTTTGGTATAAATTTCTCAGAGATGAGATATTTTCTTGCAATAAAAAGTATCCTATATGTTGACCCAGATAACCAGCTATCATAGCAAATTTCACACAGACAGACAGACGAAAACTCTTATAAACTATAGAATCGGCCTCTGTATGGATAATAATGACTATTTCAATAATATTTTCCAAAAAAAAAATTCATGTACAGATTCGGCACAGTTAGAATTTTATTATATGTATATAGATTTTCATTTGCTTTTATATATTGTTCCAGGGTATGTCGTTTATAGCTGCAGTGTTGATATTGAACATGGAAGCCCCTCAAGCGTTTGTGTGTTTCGCCAATTTACTAGACGGGCCAGTGTTACGCGCGGCCTTCACTAGAGATGGCGCTACTATGCAGGTGAGTTACTGCCTAATTTACTAAGTCCAGTTTCTCCCGGGACCATGATTGCTGTAAAACATTCGAAAGGTCGGGAACCAAAAATCAAAATAAATGCGCGAAATAATCCGAAAAGACAATTTTATTTAAAACTAGCATTGCCCGCGGCTCCGCCCGCGTTCAGATGACCAAAAACCAAATTCTTGTAGTAGGGGAGCCCAAGAGGGGATTTTCTGTAGTTACTCAAGCGCGGCAGATTAACATAAAAGAGGTTACCTTGCACTCTATTGAGTACTTTCACCACAATATAAGTCTTCTATATAAAGGGGCGCGTCTAGGGAAGCCGATTAAAATATTTAAAAAATGTTTTGATAAGGTAGAAATACTTGAAACCGTCAGATTAAGGTGTGGTAGGCTAGTCACATCCTGAAAAGTGTCCAATTTAATAATCTGCCGATTTGCACAAGCCTAAGAGGCAAAAATCATCATAAACTTTATAGTCGATTAATTCGCTTGAGTAACTACAAAAATCCCCTCTTGGGCTCCCCTACTATTGGGTTTTACATATCAGTACTGTTACATTGCAGTTTTTGTATTTTTTCTTAGAAATGAGATATTTTCCCGCGATAAAAAGTATCCTATGTGTTGACCCGGATAACCAGCTATCACCATACCAAATTTCATCAAAATCCCTCCAGCGGTTTTTCTGTGTTGCGATAACAGACAGACAGGCAGACAAAAATTCGAAAAACTATATATTCGGCCTCTTTAGCAATAATAGTGTTTATTTCAATAAGATTTTCCAAAAAATATTTAATGTACAGATTCGGCTTAGTAAAATTTTTATTATATGTATAGATAATGGCTTGATCTTAAATTAAAATTTGTAAATTAAAACTGTTTACATTTATCTCGTTTTGACATCTATCGGCACTCTGAGTGTTAGCGCTAACACGTCACGTGACCATGTCGATGACGACTTACATGAACTTACTCGCCATTCAAACCTGTCTGTAGAAGTTTTCACTTCCATTGTTTTAATATTCATTCCTTTTTTCATTATTTAACTTCATACCAAATTTCATCAAAATCTGTCCAGTGGTTTTCTCGTGGTGCGTTCCCACACAGACAGACAAAATTCTAAAACTACTGATTCGTTCTCTGTATCGATTATAATCATTATTTCAATAAGATTTTCCAAAAAATATTTAATGTACAGATTCAATTCAGAATTTTATTAAATGTCTAGGTGTATTCTTTAATTAATTGGACGTAGTTATGCGAAATGGATCCAGCCCACGAAAACTTTTCTTTGAGTTACTATCATAAAAGGCGCTTACACATCTTAGACTTATTTAAAGAAACTAGATAAAATACCCAATACAAATTTTAAACAAAACTACGGTCTTGTTATTTTGATATACCAATTTTAGGAAAACCACTACTTTCTCAAAAGTAAGTTTTTTGGTTGGATCTATTTTGCTTAAGTATGTCCCATTAAAGGAATAATGTGAGTATGTATGTGTGTATATGTGTTTGTTGTGTATACAGCGGCTATGGAAAGCGTACAGCCGGCTGCTGGCGCACAACCTGCCGGCGCTGGCGGACGCGCTGGCGCCGGAGCTGTACCTGGTGGAGTGGCTCTACACCGCCTTCGCCAAGGCCATGCCTCTGGACGCCGCCTGCCGTGTCTGGGACATGTTCCTCAGGGATGGGGATACGTTCCTGTTTAATACTGCCCTTGGTATGTTTTGTTTTTACTGTTAAGAGAGGCCTATCACAAAATGTTCTGCGTTCTATGGTATTGAGTTCGACCGACCGATCGCTTTTTGCTAGCATTTTCTGCACTTGTAATTACATCTATGTAAAGTTTTTATAATAAATTATTTAAAAAAAAAGTATGTCATTATGTTTCTTTTGAACTGACGTATATTCTGGTATAAATGTTACTTAATAATATTAATGTTGTAAGGATATATTTACAGCTAATTCTAAACGTTTTTAATAGTTTTTACGATTTTGAAAAGGATTTTTTTTATAGAAATCCAATGCATATTTTCAAATTTCGAGGCCGCTGTAAACTCATCCACTATATACGAGATATTATTATACAGTTCGTTTGCTTAGTATAATATTTTAATCCATAAGCTTGAAAAAGGGCCGTCGCGCATTTTATTAAAAAACTTACTTCGGACATTTGGACTTTATTGCAATTAACAATGAAAATTTGCGAAAAGCGAGGCCGCTATGAACTATATTAATAACTATTCTCCACCATACAATAAGTCAAAATTGTCGAAAAGTTTCAGTTTCTCTGAAGAAGAACGTCAAAGATGGGCATTAAGTTGAAAAATCTCGGTCATAATGTAATAGGCCTTTTAACTTTTAATGTGAAACATCTAATGCGGCGGGTTGAACCGGTTGTTGGCGTGGCGACGTGGCGACGCTCGTAATTATCAGACTCTCTCTAACCGCGTTGAGCTCGTATTTTAATTTTATTTTTAATAAATTAATAATAAATTTTGTAATTAAAAGATGTACTTTTATAGAAAAAATTGAAATATTTTATTTTAAGTTATGTCATATTTACTGCATTTAAAAATCATCACGTCATAGATATGCCAGACGTCCCGCGACGGCTTTAATTATTTTACGTGTGTATTCAGCTCTTTTTAACGTCCCACTGCTAGACACGGGCCTCCCTTTTATATGCGGGAGATCAAGCTCAATACTCTGGCCATGTGCGAACGGACTGAGCATTTCTTTCGAAACGAAGCCGTTTCCGAGATACACGAAATAAATATATATATAAGAATTGCTCATTTAATATTTTAAGATATTTTACACAGCAAAGACGTAGAATTACTTTTCATTACTTATTAATAAATCATCTCCGCAGGTATTCTCCATCTCTACCAAGACGAACTAAAAGACATGGACTTCATATCGGCAGCACAATTCCTAACAAAACTCCCAGAGGACCTGGACCCTGAAGCGCTATTCAAAAGCATCTCCTCAGTCTCCATGACCCTGGACGGTATGTCGTTCGAGGAGCTGGTCTCATGCTGTCCAGTAGAGAACAGCCTGGATGATGATGTTACCATCCGATTATGATATATTACATATAAGTGGTTCGGTGAGATGTCTGAACGTTTGAGAGGTTTTGGTTTATAGTACGTGTTTGTTTTGATGTTATACAAAAACTCAAGAAAACAATTAACGTCGCAATTGTCCTCGAAAAGTGCATAATTGGAAATTGTTTGCTTTTTTCTAATATCTTTTGTTCATTTTTCGTATGACAAAATTAAAACGCACGTTGTTTCGTTTAAAAAAGTACTCTATGTGGTGTGCGTAAGTTCGAATTTGTGTTTAGACAATTAAGACTTTATTTTTGAATTTTGTTCTTTGGTTTGATTTAACGTGACATGTCGACGGCACTTTTTGAAGAGATATTTATTAGGTAAAATGTATCTATGTGTTTTTATATGTCAGTGTGGAATTTTAATATTGGAATGGAATTAATATTTATAATTTATATAATATTTAGTGACTTTGATCAAAATGTTATTATTCTTTTTGGTTTTTGCGAATGATGTAAGTTTTTGAAGGGTTAAATTAGTGGTTTTATGTTTTATTTATTATTTTATATATTAAATTGCATTGTAGTGAATAATGGACGGCTATAACCGCCATGTTTTATGTATGTCATATGAAAAACTTATTATTCTTATTAAAAATTCGATTGTTCTAACTAAAAAGATCTGAAAATCGCAGTTTAGTAGATGTTAAAATTGAATTTATTGTTCGTAAATGTGGAATTATTTTGTCCGTGTGTGTGTTTTTTGTTATGATATAATATTTCTTGTAATGAGAGGTCTCACGTGAATAGTATTTTAGATGGCGCTACTAACATACAGTTTAAAGATTTTTTTTTATATAAATACAATGTAGAATTTTAACTTTTATTTAAGTACATAATAAGTTAACTGGAGTAAAATATGTCTTTAGGGTTTGCAGTTTATATTAATTTCGTATTCTTTGGTTTATACCAATTAGAGATGTACGTATTCAGCCCTTTTTAACGTCCCACTGCTGGGGGCGGGTCTCCCTTCAGTACGAGGGTGATCAGGCCATGGTCCACACTGGCCGAGTGCGGGTTGGCGATTGAGATGTTATACAAGATGAGATTTTTTAATATTACTTTTTTAATACTTTCATAGATTTACGCGAATATTTGACATTTTAAATAAAACTATGTTTTCGGATTATTTCGCGGATTTATTTTGATTTTTGGTTCCCGATGTTTTGCTTTTTTTTTCTATATTCGTTATATCAAATGTCTTTCTCTGATGAGCAACATCAAATAATGTTAATATGCATGTCTGAGATTACCTAGGTAGTTGTTGAAAGACATGCAAAATCCAATCTACCAACTTACACTTGGCCAGCATGATGGGTTTTGGTTTGATCCATCTCGCATTGACACGCCCACATACGCCCACTCCCAGCAGTGGGACTTTAAAAAGGTTAATATTATTTAAATATTTATGTGTTATATGCTAATAGTGTCATTAACGGTGAAATTTCATATGTGACCTTTCATTTATAGATTTTTTTGGATTTAGAATGTGTGTCGTGATTGAAATGTAAGTGATTTTATAATGGAAATATTTAACGTATATGTATTGCATATAGCTTAATCTCATGTTTATGAGTCACTGGATCTTTTTAGAACTATCTATTAGTTAAATTGTATGGGAAATACAAAAAGAAATTTAAAATAGAGTTTAAACTATAATATAATCAATGTGTCAAGTATTTGCGGTGATCAGACTCCCTATCGGCAAATTGTGGAACTAACTACTACCAATAGTCTTTTTTTTTAGTTATTTAGTGCTGTAAAAAGAGGTTACCTAGAAAGTTGTCGTTGATGGTCAAAACGCGTGTTGAGTTGATTTTGCAGCGATCGTACGTTAAAACTATTCGTATTACAAAAAAAAAAGTTATTATAAAAATCATAAGAAATTTTCTCTAGTTTAATTTATTACGAAACTATTTTCATCATTTTCTGAGTAGGAGGTATTGTCAAAAAACTGTTTTAGGCGCAATTTTTCCAATATGGCGGCGAGATGCAAAGATGCGTGGCAAAATAGAAATTCTGAAAGAGCCCGTCGAAATCTACAAAATTACCAATTTTCAAAACTCCCGGAAAACTTTCTAGGCTAAACTACCAATTTACTGTACTTCTATACATGTTTCGAAACTAGATTAAAGTGTCCACAGTTTATATAGAAAGTGGAACTGCTAATGTTAAGGAATTTGTAAAGTAAATTCCTTTCATTCGTTTAAATAATAACCACTAGGGAAATCTAATCACCATTAATATTTTCACTTTAATTAAATTTTCCGATTTAATATCGATTAAAGATTCGATCTTGTTTATTAAAAAATATCGATTGTGTTATGATAAAGCTATATAATTAAATACTTTGAACTAAAATACAACTCGTTCAGTAAGTGTGTATTTTATAGTACATATTTTAGCTTTTCTCTTGAAGAGAAAAAACTAAATAGACCCCTTTAAGGAACAGTATTGCAACTCAATATTGAAGTAATTCCGAATTTTCATCCATATTAATATTATAAATGCGAAAGTAACTTTGTCTGTCTGTCTATCACCTTTTCAGGCCTAATCCGCTGAACCGATTCAGATGAAATTTGGTATTAAGATAGTTTTAGACTCTGGGAAGAAAATAGGATAGTTTTACCCCAGAAATCGTCCCTTAAAAGGATGAAAAGTAGTAGTATATACAATCTATCTACATATTTCACATTAGGCGTCAAAACGTACCTAGGGACGAACACGGGCGAAGCGGGGGTGAATCGCTAGTATTTAAATATATGAGAAATTAAGTCCATTTTTAAATTATCTCAATTATTGAGTTGCAATGTTGTTGTTTAGAGATGTCGAAATATAATAACGTGTGAATTTAACCAATTAATCTTAATCTGTGACTAATTTTGTCTGTGTCTATAACATTTTTTAATAATCTGTAAATATTTATTATCTTCACTATAATGTTAGTAGTACTTGTATGTGAGTCGGGCCTATAAAAAAAATAATTTAACGTTGTTAAAGCTATCCTATATAAGATTTTTTAATGAATTTAATACAAATTAGAAACCATCATAAGACATAAAATTTATATTATGGTTATTTGTCATGATTTTTTTATTCTTAAAAAATAAAATATCCTTAACAAATGGCATAAAAGACAGACGAACAAAAATTTAGAACATTTTCAAAAGTCAGCCCAACTTTGAATTCAAGATAATTAGCTACTAAAATATGTTTTAAATAAGTTGATTTCGTGTATATTATTTATGCACATGACAGTATAGACTCTTACAGACTTTTACAATGTTTGTCTTAATTTTTAATAGGTCCTTTTATCACGGTTCTAGATCTAGATATCTGTCCTAAAGTTAGTTATCTGGTCGTGAGGCTCGAGGTGAGAGATGTTCATATTATACATAGGTACATAATTTGTCTTGATTTGGTCAAAAATAAGCGTAGTTTGGGGTAAAGTTGTTATAACATAATGTAAAATTGTATATATTACATATGAACTTAAATGACTGATTTTCAGTGTTATAGCATGAACATATCATACTAGTTATATGTTGCAAAATTTCTTAGATAATATGTTTGATAAATATTTAAAATGATTATTTTTAAAACAGATTATTAATTTAGTTATTTTTTTTAGCTGTAAAATGTTTCAATGTTGCCAGTTAATATTAATGGGTTGGATTTTTTTTTAAATTGTAGTTCTTTTGAAATTACAAATTAACTGGTTATTTCAAAGAATCATAATATGTAATTAATGTTTTTTTTTTTAATTTTTACTCTTCAATGATGTGCCACGTAAGTAGAACCAAGATGGCGCTGCGTACTTCTCATAATATAAAAAACTTTTTATAGTAATGTATCATAATATTTAAAATACTTGTAAGATACCTCAATCAATTTTTCTTACTATAGAAATCTCAATAGAGTTACAATAAGCTTTTTACTATATTATTGTTTATCAAACATTTTATCATATTAAACAAAATTAAGTCCAATGACATTTTAAATAATACTATCTTTTCGGATTTATTCAGATTTTTGGTTGCTGACGTTTCGAATGCTTTACAGCAATCATGGTCACGGGAGAGACTGAGGTTTAAGACGTCTCAAGATTATTATATAACGTCGAAACGTCGGGAATCAAAAGTCAAAATAAATCCGCGAAAAAATCAGAAAAGATAATTTTATTTAAAATGTCAAATTTTCGCGTAAATCTAATTAAGTATTTAGTGCAGTGAGTGTAAATAATGTAAATAATATTCATATATTAATCGTCAATTAATTATATTATACGTTATAATTGTATGGAAACAACGAGTAGTAACACCGGCCTAATAGTTAGTGGAGCAAAGACCGTTCGAACGTCTAGTTCTTAGACTAGGAGAGTGAGATGGACGGAGCTTATATAATATGCTAATTTATTAATATGTTAATTTATTAATATGTTGGGACATTAACACACATCACAACCTAGTTCCATGGTAAGCTGCGATGCCTGTGTTATGGATACCAGATAGTTGATACACTACACATATATAACTTTAAATACATACATATTATAAATATTAACACTCTGACAACAGGTTTGGCTCAGTTTGTAGTGACCCTACTTCCTGTGCCAGCGATCGCGGGCTCGAATTCCGCTGGGGGCATTCATTTGTGGGATGAGCACATTGTTTGTACTACATTCATGGGTGTTTATATTTATAATATGTATGTATGTATTTAAAGTTATATATGTGTAGTGTATCAACTATCTGGTATCCGTAACACAAGCCTCGTAGCTTACCATGGAACTAGATGGCGCTGTGTGTTAATGTCCCAACAACATATTTATTTGTTGCATATCGTACCACAGCGATGGTAATTGTATTATTTATGTAGTTAATTTATAATACCATTCACTGTGAATTGTCAGGCTCATTTACTGTCTTTTGGGCGCTCCGTCTATCTCAGTTTTGTAGTCTGAGCTCTAATC